GTTCATCTGGTTTCACCAGAATCCGACCCGGTGGCTCCGATGACGAGCATCAAGAATAACTCCATAGAAACAGACCATCTTCTCTCTGATGGTCTCTTTACTGATGGAGGTCTGATAGAGGATCAGGACTACACTGAGACTGGTTCAGGACCAGTTAAAAGTTCTTCACAGTAACTTTAACCTCCGACATCAACAGAGAAAAGCACAGTCACCAGTTTATTTATTTATATTTTTTCAACACAGCAGGAAGGAGCTAAGAGGAAAACTTCAATAACAAAAAAATAAGAGATAAAAACGTACAGTAGATCCAGATGTTGGGAGATCAGTAGATATAACTAAATATTAAAGTTTGACTAGACTGCATGTTGTCAGTTAGACTGATGCATTTCTTTGGCTCTCTGATCATGAGACAAGGTGGTTAACCCCCCCCCCCCCCCCCCCCCCACCCCTCCAGGGTCTTTGGAGTAGATCTCATGTCTTTAGAAGGAACCACACACCTGGACAAAGTCATGTGACCACGGAGCTCCTCGTCTGATGCGGATGTTGTTCACGCACAGCGGCTCCTCCTGCCTGAAACAGGAATACCATTACATGAAAGTTAAATGATAAACTTCTACGTCTATTATAATACAAATTAGTATTTTTCTTGATTTTAAAGATAACTATTTTTGGCATTTTGTGCCTTTTCTGTTGATAAAAGACCAAAGAGACGGAGACATTAAGGGAGAGAGAGGATGACATGCAGGAATCAAACAGATATTTTGGTAAATTGGTGCCTCAAACTATAAAATAAATATACAATATTTCATAGTTTGCTCATACCCAGTCGGAAACATCTTCTCTATACTTTCAGCCGTAACATAAAGGCCTAAAAAAGTCTAGAACAGTCTCTCATCTACTAATATTTCATCTCCTCTCCAGACACCGGCCTGGAAGCGGTTGCTGATTTACAGAATACAGAAGAATAAAATCCAGCAGACCAACAGAACACTGAGTGAGTCCACGTCTTGTTTCAGGCGTATCGTACCTGAGAGACGGGAACTCGGAGAGGCAGACGGACTTGACGTGGATTTCTGACTGCCTGTAGAATCGAGCTCCGGTGTTCTTCAGCTTGATGGAGTCGATCTCACACAGAGCGACCGGGTGAGACAACACCGTCCTGTACACCATCGTGTCCGTCTGACTGCAACACACACACACATGTAAATAATATACAGGTATATATACCAGATCATCAATATTATATTATCCATCACAGTGGACAGTTATTCCCGTCTGTGTTCAGAATTAATAAGGATACAACATCAGCTCAAAGTTCTTTTTTTAGTTTTTTTAAATCAGTGGTGGACGAAGTACTCAGATCCTTTACTTCAGGAAAAGTAGAAATACCACAATATAGAAATACTCCATAGCAAGTCAAAGTTCTAAATTCAACTTTTTACAGATATTTCATCTGCAAAATGTACTTAAAGGATCAAAGAGAAAATAACGTATTATGCAGAATGGTTCCTTTCATGATGTTATATTATTTTAGAATATTAAATGATCCTGTTTTTCACCCTGGCCTCCTAAAAATGATTGCTTTGTGTTGGAATCCGTCACAAACACAGCGAACCTGCCAGCGAACCTGTTTTAATGATCCTCGTCTGAATAAAGTTGAATAAATAGAGCTGTGATGTCACAGACGTGGTACCTACAGCCTGAGTCTCCGCACGGTTCTCAGGTTCTCGGTCGTCAGCGTCACCTCCACCTCAGCGCTCTTATCCAGAGGAGAAACCTCCAGCTGCAGCAGGAAGTGACGAGCTGAGAGGGAAGCATGCGTTTAGTCCTGACCTACATCTACCTACCACATATTTATATGTTATACGTATATAAAAACTTCTGGTAACACCCTCTATGACACCCATAACGCATCATAAACACGAATATAATGCGTTATAAGCTGCTTAATCATAGTTAAAAGCACTCATACAAATCCATAATGCTTTACAACTATAATCATAACATATTATAAAGTTTTTGAACTCGGATTTTTAGCTACAACTTCATCAAAACTGTAGTTTTATTGATGAGCAGTTCAGGTTGAAGGACAGTTGTGCACTCACAGCAGAAAGGCGGTGAAGAAGTGGTGAGCAGAAACAGCTTCTGCTCTCTGGGAACTGGAGAGACAACGATCCCGCTGTTTGGTGATATACCTGAGAAACACACACACGTGAGCGAGCGTCATACGTTACGGTCTGTACGTCACAGATCTCACAAAGAGCTCCGTGAAGGTGAACCGTGGCGGTTTATCAGAGGACGCCAACTGATAAGAAGCCGCCGAGTGACGAGAACAGACGTGAGGTCGTATCTCCTGGTGATACTGGGACGGAAAGTTACCATTACATAATGCCTCATTTGCATATTTAAACATAACATTTCAGAAAACTTGAAATACAAAATACAATCGTCTTAATGTGAGTAATGAAGTGGTGAAGTTTCATGGTGACATCTGTGAGTTAATTTTTTGACCCTATTCACCTGTAGAGTCTCTAAATGTCTGTGATTTAATACTAAATAAATGTGAACAGAGCAGAAAATTACAGAATAGATTAATTAAAGCAGCACTTGTTCTCTCACCTATGGTGGGACATGTCCCCTTGAAGACGTCGCAGTCCAAACAGCGTCCCTTCAGGAAGTTCTCATAACTGGAGCACGGGATCCCCACCATCGGGCACGAGCCGTTGAGCGCGCTCATGTAGACGTGCAGCGCCCTCATGTGGTCGCATATCACATAACCGTACACTGGGAAGTAGACCAGAACTAACAACAAACAGAGACACTAAGGGGGCCAGAGGTCTGGACACAGTTATACAGTAATAGTTATTTATAGTTATTTAGTTATTTAAATGTGTACAACTGCGTTCAATGCATTTACACATGTTGTTTTATTTTTTTATGTATTAAATGAAATGAAATGAAATAAAATATTTCATTTCATTTCATTTCATTTTATTTTATTTTAATTATTTATATACTGCTGCTTGTATTCCCGCCTCCAGCTATCAACAAAGTCTTATCTTTATCTGTAATAATACATTTTAACATGATTATATTTTGTTTAAATAATCTGAATCTGCAAAGTAAAGGTGGAGTAGAAGTATAAAGTAGCAGAAAATGGAAAGCGTACCTTCAAATAGTACTGAAGTACAGTACTAGAGTAAAGGTACTCTCCACGACCGCTTCTCGTCGCTGAACTTACTTGAGGCGAACCAGGAGCGAGCACATCCAGTCTGGTCCTTTCCTCCGTTCAGGAAGAAGTCCACGTGACCCACAGGGATGGAAATCCCAAAATCTGCAGCAGAAAACCTCATTAATGTTGTTTTAATTCACCGTATACGATGCCTTCTTTTTGTGCCTCAGTAAAGCGTGAGTTGGTATATTTCTCATTCAGTTGATCTTTTGTCCAAAAGCTTATTTTATAAACACAACAAACATGCATCAAGACAATAAATCAGCATCATTTCAAGTCTTTTCGTGTATTTGAGTAAACGTCGTCTCACAGTCGGAGTCTGTGTGGATGGCGTCGACAAACAGAGCGTCGGAGGGGTCGAGCCGGTCGAAGGTGTCGGCTCCTTTAAACATCGGTCCAGCGGGGTCCAGAGCTGAGGACAAGGAACTCTGAGAGGTTTAACAGCGTCGGGAATCATTGTCCTTCACTACTGATGATGGAAGTGTTTAATGGCCGTTGAGATACTTGAGACACTCCACTGGAACTTGTATTGTGGCCTTTAAGTAGCTTTAATGTTTTAATACAAAGAACTTCAGCAGCATTGTTTATCACAGGGTCTGGTTTTCTTTATGGTCTCTTGATTATAAAGTCTGTATTTCTGATTCACGTGAGGACATAAAGCTGCAGGATGCACGGCAGCAGCAAGAGAAAGCAAACACTCAAACAAAAAGAAAATGGAGATACAGTGAGTGAATCAATTGACTCATAGATTCAGACAGAAGAAGAAAGAATCCAAAGTGTAGAAATCACATTCATGTATGACTAAATATTCTCGAGCAATCGTTGTTAATACACATTTGTTGTATAAGAAGTTCTTGCTGGATGCTGAACTGATGTATCAAGTAAATTGTTTCCTCTAAATTCATAAAATCTTCGTGAGATTTAATCTTCGTGAGATTTAATCTTCGTGGATGTTTCGTTGAAGCTTCTCATCATATTATATTTGCACCGGAAAATATTCCTTAATATTGTACTTTACTTAAGTATTTCCATGTTCTGCTACTTCCTGCTTCTCCTCTACTCCATCTCAGAG